ATGGACTATCAAGCAATGCGTAAATGACTTTTCTACGATTCTTTTGGACTAAGCTACAAGTTTTTTTAAAATAGGGACTAGGATTTTAAATTTTCATTAAAATTTAAACTTAATTAATTAATAATTTTGCCAATACTTATCAGTTCATCAAAAGAACTTAAGGATATATGTAGTCAGGTGTCCTCTTTAAACTGACAAAGTTTGAAGGTACATATATGGGGGTGGATCCCCCTCCTTAACTTCTTAATCATTACCAGTAGCTCCATTTTTCGATGAAATCAACGTTTGTTTAACATTTCAGAAACAGCTTGACCCCTACATGTCATATGAAAGAGAATTTCCTCTACAAATCAGTGGACTAAGGTACAGCCAAAGCCAGCACTCTGTGTGACCACAAGGCAAAAACTGGGAGTACCGATTTTTTTCAAACGTGCTTGTTTTCAGTATTTTGGATCTAGAAATCGCTAGTCCAGTTTAACCAAAAAACAAATTATTTTGTACGGTTGATAATTCTGAATTAATTGATATATAAAAGAAACTTTTGAATCATTCGGACGATGTTGTTTTGAAATGTGTAAGTTGGGGAATTATTGTGCGTTGTTGAGGACGATTTTCAATAATTCACCAACCCTTCATTTTTTTCTAATGCTTCTTCATTGACCGAATTCATAATCTGCATATGACTCCCCGTATGAAACAGACTCTAGAAATATTATTTAGAGCTTGATCCAATATCATAAGGCCAATAAAAAATTCATAATCAAAGAGACCTTGAAGGGCGCCAAAAATTTTCGCAAACCTATCTAGTTTTTTCCGTTAAGAGACGGAGCCCTGATTTACACTGCATTTGATTCGTCTTTACACGGGCAAAAACAGTATGAAGAGCCGTTTTTAAAACTCTGTTTCATGGCTGAGAAAATGCATTTTTTTTCAGTCACACGCGAAAAAAATTCGCAATTGTGCCCGTAATTCTCAATTTTCTTTACCAGAACCACTACTTTAATCTTTTTCGATTTTTCGTGCTGAAATACTATCGACATTTTAATTAAAACAATTGCAGTGTTGATGTTTGCTTTTATGTCGTTTAGAAAAAATTCAACACACAACATTATTTCTCTATGTACAACTGCAAATTCAGACATAAAAATGGTATTCGACTTTTGTATTATCACAGATAGAATATTAATCATTTGTTATCCATTGAAACTTCCAATCACCAAATCAACGTTCATGAATGCCTACAACAATGTTTTAAGCAATTTAAGAATGGTGAGTTTCATCAGAGATAAATATATTTTTCAACCACCAGTTATGATACAATAAACGAACTACCCACAACAACAACCAGAAAACACAATTTATGGTCACATTATACATGTGGGTAACAAAAAAATAGAAAAAACAAAAGATTTATCAAACAAGTTAAATTATCGTTTCTATCATTTAACGAATGAAAATTTGCCGTTACTAGTCCGAAGCTTTCTGCAACTAAATCCTACAATAAATTAGATCTATAAAATAAATCAAGAATTCACCATCATTTAGTGGGTCATTGATTTGAGTTCAGGATAATAACATACTTTCACTGATCTTTGTATGAGATATGCATATATCTTTGAATATGTGCAAGCGTTTTATCCTGTCGTCCACTGAAACACCTAGACATCGTTCATGTTTTGTAAGTAAAACTGAATTGCAGAAAAACTTTTGAAACGGGTTTTTCAGAAGATCTTTGAAAAACTAGCTTTGATTTTCCGAAATTCACATAGGAATGTATTGATTTTTTTATTCTATATCCTGTTTATAGGAGATCTCGACATAAATTTTAAAAAACTCTAAGGTTTTCGGAAAGGGCTTCTGGAAAATCCATTAACAAAAATATGCTTTTCGATTTCTTCGGTCTGATAACCACGTTTAGCGGACAACATCAATCATATCACTCAATAAAGTATTAGATTGAAGCAGTTTCTATGCCGCCAATAAGTGCAATCAGTTCCAAATGAACCTCGAGTTTATTCATTGATAGATGAATTTTTTTCCTAGTAGAAATTTTTTTTCGAAAAGAAAAACTAACTCTACCCGCGGACCTTAAGAGCCATGATAACTAACTGCTCCAGTCTTATGTGATTATGGGCCTACTCATATGCTCATGAACCTTACCAATAGTGATTGCTTTTAGTGGATGGCTCACGAGATATAACGATTTCATTTAGTTTTTCGTAAAATATCAACACTTCCTAATCAAATAGTGATGTAAATTTTCTGTTGACTAGTGTCAAACAAAGCAGTCTGTGTTATTTATGACCGAATTGTATTAGTAAATAGTTGAAAGAGATGTCTATGTTGAATGAATATCTAAAAATGGTTATCGTGTCGTTATACAAATTAGATATTCAGCATATTAAGATATTATCGCAGATTGAAATAGTGCTTTCATTTCTTTCCCATCTTTCGTTCGTTGCAATCGTTCGTATATGATGCATATATTACTCTACGTAGAGAAAAAACAAATAAAATGAAAACATGTACACGAGGGAGAAGAGAGAAGAAATATGTCACGTTGATTTTTCAACGTGCTTCGACTTCTTTATCTTAGATTTATCCTACACTTTCTTGTCGTAAGATCCTATGAGATCCTACGTAAGGTCGTATAAGATTCTCCTAGTATTTCGTAGGATTTCATAGGAATCCTGGCATATCTGAAACCGAAATATATTCGGATTTATATATTTTGGAATTAAAACTGTACACACACTATCATGTATATTCAGTAGATAATTTCGAAAGGCAGATGATTTCAAGAGGGTAGTTTGCGATGACATTTTGGCGTCGGTTTGCAATATGTGAGAAGTCCATGAGTTAAGTTTCTTTCAGTTATACGGTGAGAGGATCCTGTAGCTAGATCATTCAGCTTTCTTTCAAAATCTTTGATTCGGTCGGTATACATCTGACTACCTAACGACTTTCGACAATCTCTTTAAAAAAACATCTTTGATAATTATGACGGAAAGCTTATTGAGGAAAGTGATAGAACAAAAACAGAATGATTTTATCTGAATTTGTTTTACTTTTCATTCCGTTTGTTAAGAGGGATTAAAGTACAAATGAAAGAAAAGCACCCAATGGACATATATATATATATATATAAAACTATATTTCTGTCTTTACTTTAATGTAATGTTCTATATACGACAGTTTTATTTGGTTTACTCTTGCTTTTCACTATGAACAATGTGAGTGATATGTATTCTTTCTTTTTTGAAAAAATCATGTCTAATTCTATGAAATGGTTGTTCAATGAATAAATAGTTTAATAATGATGCCACAAAACCAATTAATAAAGTAAGAATGAAAACATTGCAGGCTAATTCAATGGTAATTTGTTCGGGTTTTGGCTTAATATAATAAATAAAGATTGTTAAGAGTATGGGAATGTGAAATACATATAAACCAAATGATAATTGTGATAATGGATAAAATATTTGCAATGAAAATAGATACTTTAACCATGGTGTATGAAATGGATGCTTATTCGGTACTAGTACACAATATAGGATAAAACCAACACCAGCACCATAAATTAATTTAAAGAAACAAAAGAAAAATATAATTATGGCTAATGGAAGTGTTTGAATTTCGTCGCAATCTGTTGTCCTTGATGTTGAGATAAGTCCACTTGCTATTATTACAAAACCAATACTTAATAACACATATTTGCAAATCACTTTCAGTAATATGCGGGCCTAAAACAGTGTAAATAAATATAAGAAAATGAAAAGTAGTAAAAACTGAAATAGTGTATAATCTGTTATGACTATATTTTTTTATTTTTAAGGAAACCTTGTCTATCGTACATTTCGCACTTGTCACTAATTTAGAGTCTATTATTAAATATTCAAAAAGTCTAAGCAAAAAAATACAGCCAGTTTATTTCATGACTACTTGAAAAAAAAACATCAGTATACAGAGCTAAATGTACAACGAATGCTCTGTTTAATGTGAAGATATTATTACCATAAATTTTCTATTGCGGCCTTGTATTCTAATTTCTTAGCACAGTTATGAGTCAAATAAATGTCCCGTTGTTTTTACGATCAATTATACATTTATTAAGTCAGAATACCGGTGAATTTTGTCCGTTCATATTTTTAACAATTTTTAATAGTTTGCGCTAAACCCAATGGTTACTGCACGGTGTCATCGAAAAAACATAAATGATTTTTGTATCGTTTTATTCAGACCATCTGATAACGCGCAAGTAACTTAGATTTTATGGCTATTTTTGGGTTCGATCACCATGGGTCTAGAAATTTTCAATTAAATATCATTCGGAGTTGAAAATTTGCGTTGCAGCAAGTGAAATTCAATCTGTCGCTCGTGGTACAGAACAGAATGGTGAGCATAGTAACAAGCATGTCACTTCCGCCATCGCGAGCTGTACCGCAAGCGCCATCATGTTTTTTGAGCATTTTCAGTCTGTTTGACTTGTTTTCTTTTAGTTTGTGATGATTGTGTGTGCACATTCACGAGGGCGAGAGAATATTCATGGGCAAAATTGTCTTTTGAAAAATCCATATTTCGGCGACGACGTGACTCACTTCCGTAGAGTTTTTATATTAGATAGAGAATCTCCAGTTGAACCCCAGAAAAAGATTTCAGCGCTCAAATCGATCGCTTTGTAGAGAAATTGATTTTGCATCGAAACGAGATCGCCGTTTGAATGTTACTTAGAAAATGCATATCTCGTCGCAGAAGGCCCATGGATAGCTATCCTGCCAGAGTTCTCCTAGTCTCACCAAGAACTACTTAATCCTAAAAGATGGGCTCACAATCGATTAGACATCTGGAGTCTCATACTAAAATGATGCGTCTCAAAAGATTTCATAACTGTACTTTATAAGTTGTCAATGTTCTTAGATTGCCGTAATGCGATGGATGACCGCGATGAGCCTAAAGCATGGTAGTTCTGTTTGTTTTCTAATCTTGTTAAAATATAAACGATATACAAAGTGTTTCAAAAGAAAAAAGAATTCTCTATCACAGATTGAGACTGCATATTATTTTAGTAAGAAATGATATGACAGAATTTTTACACTTCAAACCCACATCTCTTCTTAAATCTAATCAATAAGCATGTCCAAAAAGTGGTTTCAATCACGAAGGAGCATTACGAAATGTTTGAATTCTTAAATTTGGTTACATAAGATCTTATATAGACTACTCTTACACACTGATTTACTAAGATAAAAGAATTTAATTTTAACTCTTGTACAAATCGTATTCGATCCCGCAATCTAAGAACATTAATAGTTGATACACGATAGTTATGAAATCTCTTAAGAGCAATTATTTTAGTGTACACTAGAACATATGAAAGATATAAGTTTGAAAGTGGGCTGACTACTCTTCTAATCGTGTATAAAAGCTACGTAACAGAAACATTCTATACCTTGCTTTGCTGTTCTTGTTGTTGACTGTTGTTTAACGTCAATAAATGCATAGCAATAATTACACCAACAATAAATGTTCCATATCTCGTATATACCGGTACATATAACTGCTCAAAATAAATTAAATTACTTTTTTGTTCAATATCACTGTAGTTACGCTCCGCTTTTGTATAATAAGTTAAATTATAACGTTTTACTGTCGCAGCATAGGTTTCCTCCGTATGACTAAATAATAAGTTAAAATTTTTTCCAACAAGTTTTGCTATATCATTTGGATATATTGAAAATATATAATAGCAAATAATGCAATTACTAAAGTAAAGTAGATATAATAAAACTTTTAATATTCGACTAAAATACTTCTTATTCTTAATTACTGACAATAACCAACCAAATAAAGTAAATAAAACAAAAAATTTAAAATCAGTTGATATAGACCATAAATGACACGTAAAGAGTGTTAAATTATTAATACTATATCTTGTATTTCGATTAAATAATAGCAAAGACAAAATATTTTTAATTTCAATTGGTTCACCAATAAAATAATGTGTATAGATTAATGTTACTATTAGAGTTGGATAAAACCTTAATATTCTAGACAAAATCATATGTAAAAATTTCTTTAGATTGAATGACGATGATTGAATCAATGGAAGTAACTGTAAACCTAACATTAAACCGGATAACACAAAGAATACATCAACTTGATTTACACCAAATAGCGCTTGAATAAATCTTGGATCACTGGTAAACTTACAACTGTAAATACCGGTTGGTGGAAGAAATATTGTGACCAATGTGACACTATGAAGCAATACAATAGAAATACTATAAAATACACGAAATGCATCCACAACAGCTAAATGATTTTGAGGGCGTTCGACTAAACGCTTTAAATCACCAATAATATTGAGAATATAAAAATCTTGGTCGGAGGGAGTCGTCATTTCAATATATCCTTGATAGTATTATTATTAATAACGTTTGATAACAAGGCAGTTGACTGGGTCGTCTTAACTTTAAAACAAATTTTTATTCTTTCCTTTTGCATTATGAATGTTGTGAAGTTGTTTTTGAATCAAAGGAACGTTAACGTGGTCTTGTTTCTTTCTACGCACACGTTTATGGTAAAAAAAAGAATAAAAAGGAAATGCATAGTCAACACTCATATAGAGAACCATTGTCTATAATGGGCCGGGTAGAGAAAATGACGCCGCTTGGCAAAACCTTTTCTCAAGCAAAACTAGATCAGAAAACGTCATTTTTATGTTAGAAAGATAGAGAATTGTGTCTAAATTTTATTCATATGTTGTTTTAAAAATAAGCATGTCCCGTCCCGTTCTTTTACAACAGTAAAAATACTCGAAGCCGCGAAAAATATCAACTAGACTAAAAAATAGTCGTAGATCAATAAACTATTAAAAAATATTTATTGAGATCAATAAACCTTTTAAAAAACGCTTTTCTGTTTTTTATATCCAGAAAACTAAAAAGTGTTCGTGACAGCTGCAAAATGAAAAACGGGCGGTTTTTTATCAAAAATAAAACATCCTTTTCAGTTTTTTGTTGAGTCTAAAATACTAACTAAAAAACTGAAGAGGCTTTAGCTAGTATTTTAGACTCGACAAAAAACTGAAAAGGATGTTTTATTTTTGATAAAAAACCGCCCGTTTTTCATTTT